TTATCTGACAGTATGGGCTCATATGTTTCAGTATAAAGCAGATAATCTGGGATCCGATTCTGGCTTAAAGGGCAGTGTGGACAGCCCCTAACTTTCAATGCAAGGTTAATAATAAAAAGGCATATAAAAAAGATCTATAGCAGTGCTTCTCAACCTGTGGCTCCCCAGGTGTTTTGGCCCACAATTCCCAGCCAGTTTCCCAGCTGTTAGGATTTCTGGGAGTTGAAAGCCAAGACATCTGGGGACCCACCGGTTGAGAACTACTGATCTATAGGAACACTTATAGTCTATATGGTCTGGGTCCATTTCCTTTTTTGTTATCTTTCGGTCCCTTGCACACAGTTTCTGTAGTGTTTAAGAGAAAAGACTGCTTCATTGCAGTAATGCTCTTTAGAACATAATGGGCTACTATAGGCTACTATTAAAAATGATGTGTAAGCCATGCCACTTATCCATTGCAACAATATGAGTGAAATCATGAATCCTTTCCATAAAAAAACAAACAAAACATGAACTGTGCTGTTCTTTTTAGGGACCATATTTTGGGGAAATTACTTGCTTTGATTACTTGTGTAAGGAGGACAACATGGAGCATTAATAGGCATTTGGCTAAAGGACAGCTCTTGTTTAAAGGCTCATTCCCACTAGATTTTCCCTGTCCCACTTTTAAGAAAGGTAGAGTAAAATCCTGTACAGTTGGCTGATGGGTAAGGCAGGGCCTGGAGTGGCTTTGCTTTAACTTTTGTAGTGTATTTGTGTTGTCTCCTTTACTCAGAAGTAGCAACATCGCTGCATTAAAAAAAACAAAACTCTTAAGATTTGTGCTTTAGGGGAATTTTGCAGCCGTTGCCCCACTTTAGGAGATTCTCTTCAAAGCATTTGTCAGAAGAAAACCTCCAAGAATACAGCATCTTCTTCCAGGAAAGTTGGAACTTCAACAAAGCTTTTAGAAACAACAAATTGATACTATTTTATGCCCACAAATTGCTGTAATATGATCTGCAGCTTGGAGCTGGGATGAAATTTGTATGATGCTTCTGTGTTGCACTATTTTGGGAAGTTTACTCTGGGATTATAAAACAATCAACAATTCTTTCCCTTAACTTCTAGCACTAGGGTCTGCTTTGCTTCTCCATTTTTTTGTATCACCTAGTCTGATGAAGCATTTGCATAATACAGAAGCTTGCACATCTTTGTTGCATTGTAGTTGATTCTGATAAAGGTATTCTCCAGATGAGAATCTTTAATTCAAATGAGAATCTTTAAAGGAGTTTTGTAAAGTTTTTAATCTATTTTGTGGGAAGGGTTTAGTCCCTTGGATACCTCCTCACATATTTAAGTTAAAAACAATAAAGGGGAAACGGGTTTTTTTTAAGGAATAGGAAAATGGGAAACCACATCTGTGCCCATCTTCTTGGATATAGGCCTGCCAATCATCTCTAATATTTTAGCCCATATGAATTATTTTATGTCATGACCCACAATAAAGGTATTAAATGAATGGGATCCCTATGGCAGAACCACACAATTTACCCAAGTCACAGTACATAATGTGACAGCCTTCTTACATTGATAACATCACAAATCAAAATGCAGTGTGTTTTATGAAAGTAGCATATACGAAATGAATATTTTATGTATTATTCTTTTACTGTCACTGTTTACTGTCAAATGCAGTTCAGGTCTTTGTGGATAGTGACACCTCCGGACTTAATTTCAATTTATCTAGTAAGACTCGATAACGATTTGTTCATGACCTTGTCACTCACTCTTAGTTACGTTCCCGCTCCTGTTACTGGAGGCAGTTCATATTTTATTAAACCTCTTGAATAACTCCGGTGAATCTGCTAATCGCAAAGGTCAGTAAACATTACTGTGAGCCTACAGAGCCAGAACAATAACTGAATATTCTGCTTGAAGGACAAAGGTGTAAACCACTGGATTTACCCACGTTATGTGAAAATACATACTCCACCACTTTATTCTGTCTTAGAGTCCCTTTCAGAAGAGACTCTAGCATTTGAACTCCCCACCAGTTTGTTCCTTCCCCCCAATACTCCAATATAGTTTTGTTCTGGCAAAATTGTACTAATTCATTATACTTTTAGGCTACCTAATAGCCTCAGTTCCGTGGTTGGTTTATAAGTTTGTTACTAATATAGTGAATAAAATAACACACAATAAAAACGGGAGAGAAATAAGAACATGGCACCATGCTTCGAAACCACAATGCCATCAGCAAAGACATTTTTTAAAAAGTAAAGAGACCTAAGAAGGCTAGAATGATTTTTTAAAAAAACAAACAAACGCCTGAGTGAATAAAATGAGATGACCACAATCCATCGGTATATGATGCACTTCTTTGGATGGAGTACCATCAATTTGATGGGGCAACTGGAAAGGCCCTTTCAGTACCCAATATCTACGATCATGGAGAGAGGCATTACAAATGGGTCACACCTAGAATTCTTACATTTGTTATGTTTTCTCTCTTGGTAACATTGCTTATCCTCTTTCTTTCATTGCCTACACTATTTCTAAATGTTCAACTGAAATTTCAAGTTATTGTAATGCTAGAAATATGATGACTGCAGGGAAATCTAATCTATTTGGGGGGGGGGCATAATTCTTGTTGGGGGAAGGATTGTATCATGATCCCAGCCACCCAAACTCTGTAGCTACACTTAAGTTGCTAGTTTCCAGGAAAGAAAGAAAAGGCCATAGCCAGTGGGAACAGCTAATGGTGCCAGTTCCCAGGATATTGGATTAATAACCACACCAAACACACACGCACCACACACATTACCTATTCTGCATGTCAGCTAGCTAAGAAACCCTGACTTAAAACTTTATTGCCCAATAATCAATACAGAGCACCCTGGGAGCCAAATTCAATTGCCGCTTTTCTATCTAGGAAAGCCAGCTGACAGGGTTTTTTTTTTTAAAAAAAAATCTGGTGAGTAGATACAAGTTGTTTCTTCATTCATGTTGTGTCATTCATTGTTTTCTTGTAGTTTATATAAATAAAAATGTAATGTTTGTTTGTGGGATTAACATAACTCAATAACCACTGGACGAATTGACACCAAATTTGGACAGCATACACCTAACAAACTAATAAGTGATTATCACTCAATCCCCCCCCCCCGAAAAAAAACAGTGAAAGGGGCTTTTGAAACCCAAACATGATAAAACAAGGTACAGTGCATGTGTGAAAATGACCCACTGCCCCCCCTCCTGCACGAGGGGAAAAAACAAACAGCTGCAGGGAGCGTTGACTGCTCCGGTGGGCTGGACAGGCAGACCCTTGGCTTTCCCAGGCCCCCAGTTTGGTGTCTCCCCCTCTCTCTTCCACTCGCCACCCCCACGGGGTCCCTACCATCCTCACCTTTGGGCCTAGCCTCCCCCACCACGCTGGGGCCTCGCATGGCCCCCCTCCCCCCCCCCCCCCCAGTCTTCTTCCTCTCTTTGTCAGCCTCACCTAACACGGACCCCTCCTCCTTCTTTTCCCCCCAGTGAGGCAGGTGGGTGGCTTCTCTGTGTGGGTGCTGCTTGCCAGGCTTCACCTTTCCTTGCCTGGGCGCCGACGTGAAGGGAGCCTTGTAGCCCTCAGCTTTGCTGGGCCTGGTGGGGGCGGGAGGCATTTTTAGAGATGGGCCTTGCTCACCCAGCACTGGCCTCTTCTTTCTACCGCAGCCACATGGCGCCTTTCATGTGACCCTGCCTGCGTGCCCATCCAGCCAACAGGGTTATTCAGATTAGTGGCTAGGGGATATTTCCCTTTCCAAATATTGGCAAAGGTGTTTTCTTGGATAAGTGTGTGAAGAAGGGGCCATATGTTTGGTCTGCGGTGATAAGAAGTCTTCATCGGTGTTCACATGGAAAAAAGGTTATCACTTGCAGCCTACAATGCTAGTGTCTAACTTTTGAAGACAAACTGTGATGAAGTATACATTGCTACTTTCGTCAATTTTGCTATTTTGTGGTGCAAATGTTGGAAACTTTGTAAGATTTGCGTTGGGTTATTGATCATCTAGATATCACACATTTATATCTTTAATCCTTAAAAGTCCATAGCTTGGTTTCGTAATTGATCCTCTTTTCACATTAGGAAAACTTTCTATTTGTCTGATTTCTTTCTTTCATTCTCACAAGTGTCTTATCCCACAGGTGCAGATTTACAAGGAGGTGCAGAGGGAAGTAGTGCAGAATAAGAAGTTGGGATCTAGTTAGGATCTAGGCCAGTGTCTCATCTTGTAGTTTTGAAGAGCAGATGTTGTCCTTTTTTGGCCAGCCTTGCTAGGAGATCTTGAAGGGTTGCACCTGCTCCTGTGCAAACAAGCAAGCAAGCAAGCAAAGAAACAAACAAGCTCCTCTGTGGAGAGCATTACATTTTCTGCTTTAAATAATCCTCTCCTGGCCCTAAATTGACCTGGGGAACTAATCAGTGATGTGAAAACTGACTCCACCCTCGATCTCCAAATGGACAGTTTGAAGCATTTGGGAGCAAAAACTTTTTTTAAAAAAATGTGGAAACATTATTATTGAACCTGTGGGGACTTCCAAAAGTGGTGGAAATGCTCTCTACACTGTCTAGAGTTAATTTGGGGACATTTATATATGCGTGTTTGTGTGTGCACGTATATATGTGTATGCATATATGCCCTACCCCATTAATAAAAGTACAGGTTTTTTTTTTTAAAAAAACAAGAACAGTGAAACAACTGGAATGAGACAGTGCATTCGTCTTTCATTGTAAGAACAAAAGGCCAAGCAAATTAATATGGTCTTCGCATTCCATTGGATTCTCAGGAGAGATATAACCATTGTCTCACCTCCATTGGGAGAGACTTCCATAGGTGGGGTGCTGTGATGAATGCCAGCAGATCATCCGTGTCTTAGATTTCAGGCAGGCACTGTGTGGGGAAGTCGTCTTGATATTCTTGTCCCAAACTATTTCGGATTGTACTAAACATTATTTTTCTCCTTCTGTTTTTTAGTATTCAACATGTATATGGAGCTCAGCATCCTCCTTTTGACCCGCTGTTGCATGGAACGTAAGTTTTAAAAAATGCGCAGGAAATGAAGAACTCTTGCCTAACATTTCCTTGCTCCTGTTTATTTCATGAAATCATGCTTTCGTTATTTTTCCTTTCTGATTCTTACCATGTCACTCTATTTTTCCTTATTCCTCCCTTAGTCCTGTCTTTCTGAATAATGTGGCAAAATAATGTGGAAAAGATACCTTTAGCTGGGTTTTTTTTCTTTCCAAAATGAGACCAAAGCCATAAGCAATGTTATGGAAAAATGTCTATGGACACAAGATGAGTGAGGGGAAAGCAGGAGACAGTGGGGGACAGTGGAGGGAACCGTCTTGCTCTGTTCTATCCCATTAAGGTCTTCTCCCTTCTCATGTCCTTTCCCTGTAGAGGTCAGTCTTTTCCCTACTTCTCAAAAGGCACTCTGAGCTCCATTTCTCTACGCTGCTGAAACAGAACCCAACTGAGTACTGCTGGAAGTTGCCTTGTTTCATGTGATGAACTTCATGGTATTCCATTTCAGCAGCATAGAAAAATGGGGAGAAGATGTAGAGAAAATGGCATCTAATGAGGTCATATGTGACTCAGTTCAAGTTTTCTGCCTTAATGATTTCAGTGAGTTGTTGTAGGTTTTTCAGGCAATATGGCCATGTTCTAGAAGCATTCTTTCCTGACGTTTCACCTGCATCTATGGCAGGCATCCTTAGAGGTTGTGAGATTTCACAACCTCTGAGGATGCCTGCCATAGATGCAGGTGAAACATCAGGAGAGAATGCTTCTAGAACAGTGGTTCTTAACCTGGGGTCCCCAGATGTTTTTGGCCTACAACTCCCAGAAATCCCAGCCAGTTTAACAGGTGTTAAGGATTTCGGGGGTCCCCAGGATGAGAACCACTGTTCTAGAACATAGCCATATAGCCTGAAAAACCTACATCAACCCAGTGATTCTGGTCATGAAAGCCTTTGACAATACATTAAGTGATTGAAGTTATCATATAGACATTTAGAAAATTATCAGTTTTCATTATCTTTTTGTGTGCTGATTGTCAATTATTTTGGGAGCAATAATTATTATGAATATGTGTAATGCTTTATGTAATGCTGATTGAAAGTTCCTTCTTTTTATTTGGCTTGCTGTGAATGAGCAGAATGCTGCTGCATGCTGTCGATTAGTGATCAGTGATGTTGCATATCTAAATCTGGTACTTTGATTGCTGTTTTAAAGAAATGAGGATTATACAACAGCAAAAGACACAAAAACCACACTATATAAAGTTAATAGTATAAGATGCATGAGTTCTATAGGCTTTCTGAAGAACTTAAGTAAGAATACTTCAAGCATTGTCAGATGTATAAGAAAGGTGGAGTCCTGCTGGTAAACTGCTAGTCGGTTTCACTAGCCTTTGAACTCTTTGTGCGGGATTTTGAAGCATCAGTATAACCAAACAGAGAAAGTTGTCATTGATAGCAAAGAAAGGTGCTGGCATAGAGCAGCTTATTTTTTCAGTATCTAGCCTCTGGATGGATTCTCAAAGCCAGGATGTTCTGGGAGGTGATTTTCCAAGTGAGATTTTCCAAGAAGTACTTGGCATTGAGGGCCACCCCAAAAGCCAAGCATTGAAGAAAAAGGCTGTTTGAAGCTATAAGCTTCAAATGAGCAAAGTGAGCTGTTGGCAAAGCTCCAAAGGTTGCTGGTCCATTTCTGGACCCAATTCCAGTGCAGGTTATGACTCCAAAGGTCCTAGATTATATGGGGACCAGGCAGTCTGTAGGACTGTACCTTCTTCTGTGACCCTATTAGAGCTCTAGGGTCTTCATGTGAAATTTGTTTGGTGGGAACAAGGAAAAGTTTTTCTCAGTGGCTGCTACCTAGCTTTGGAAGTCACTTTTGGAAGTCTCCTTTCATTGATAAGTCAAAGTTTTCTTATGCCACCAGGCTTTGAGAAACTGACTGGGATACACTTTTCAATGAGATGTTATCCCATTTTTGTTTGTTTGTTTATGGTTTTTAAAATAAATTTAAGTGGTTTAATGTTATTATTTGTGTTTCTTTCAAATAACGTTCGTATTTATGCTTTTTAATTGACGTTTTCATATAGTTTTTTCATGGAATCATAGAATCCTAGAATTGGAAGAGACTGCAAGGCATGTTCAGTTCAACCCCCTGTATTGTTTTTGATGTGTTGTAATTATCCTTGAATCCTATTGTCAAAACAAAGGCAGGATATAAATAAATACTTTACAAAATGATTTTGATTTTTGTTAAAGGGGAAAAAAGCAGCAACAAAAAGCCTTATTTTCCCCACCCTCCAGAAACTTTAAGGAGGAAATTTTTTTTCAGACCTGTATTGGTAAGGAGGAGTGACATTTTGCAGCGCTTTCTCTATAACAATGTTAAGTGATTATAGAACAAGCAGCTTCCAATTATAACGTCATTTAGTTGCTTACCAGGAATTTCAAATTAGTCTTTTCTCTATTGATGCCCAACATTGCTCATGCTTTTCATTCAACAAAACTGGTTTAAGTAGATGCAAATTGAGAAATAGCAGTAAGAGAATTATCCGAAAGATTTGTTTTTCATCATCTTGAGCAGAGAGCTCATTTTTAAGATGTCAAGAATATAACCTGTAAATACAGTCTCAAGAACGTATATAGGGATGAATTATTAGAACTGACAATTAAACCATAAAATAATTTAAACCATAAAGCATGTGCACATTTGGATCAATTCAATTAGGTCCCAAAGGCTTTAATGAAAAAAAATGTATTGGTTGGTGCTAGAATGACAGCTGTGTTGGTGCCAATTGGGATCTAAGATATCAATTTTCTGTAACAAGGTGTTACAGTAGAAAACGCCCTCTTTTTTATCCTCTCGATCTTGTCTCCACAAAGGAGGGCATTGTCAGTAGTAAACTTCATACAAGTTTCTTCAAGTGCTGAGATCACAAGCTCTTTAGATCTTTAAATGTTGTCACCAGCACCTTGAATTAAGACTTTTTTTTGTGTTGGGAGCGACTTGAGAAACTGCAAGCCACTTCTGGTGTGAGACAGTTGGCTGCCTGCAAGGATGTTGACCAGGAGATATCCAGATGTTTTACCATCCTGTGGGAGGCTTCTCTAATGTCACCGCATGAGAAACTGGAGCTGACAGACAGGAGCTCGCCCTGCTCCCCAGATTTGAACCACCGACCTTTCGATCAGCAGCCCTGCCGGTACAAGTCCACATAGTTCCACTGGCCCTACACCCCAAACCCCTCATCATCATCAGCAGCAGCTGGCTGAACTACAACAGATAGTTAAGTGATAGTTAACCCTTCTCCTTCCTCTTTCCTTTCCCATAAGGATACCATTATTTTACGAAGACACTCTGATTTCATGACTGTATTATAGGGCAATATACTTATGTTGTACATTAACCTTCATTTTAACATCACTTCATATCACTTGCTACTTAAAATGGTTTCTTGAAGCCCCCTGTAAAACAACTGCTTCTCCTCATAAAAAAAACAGCAGTATTGTGTGCAGAGAAGAAAATGTCCTTGAACAACATGTTGAAAGCCACTTCAGCTGGTGTCATTCAGTGGAGTTAAAGTAAGAGGTTTCTTCAATTTTCTTCTCTAGCTCTTCTGTAACTTGATGGATTTAAAGGAATCTTGGAAACATTCAGAAAATAAAATAAAGTGCGCGTGTGCCTTCAAGTCTCCTGTTGACTTATGGTAGCTCCATGAATTTCACAGGATTTTCTTAGGCAACTATTACTAAGAGGTGGCTTTGCTAGTTTCCTCCTCTGAAATATAGCCTAAAGCACATAGTGCTTATTGGAGAAGAAGAACTCAACAAGTTCCTGTATCACCTCAACATTATCCATGCAAACATCCAACTCATCATGGAAAACTGCCATATCTAGACATCCTAGTTAGCCACAGACCCAATCAACAATTGGACCACACAGTTTGCAGAAAACCTACACACACAGATAGATACCTACATAAAAACCCCAACCACCACCCAGGTCAAAATAGGAGCATGATTAAAGCTCTGGCAGACCATGCAAAAAGAATCTCTGAACCCCACGTCCTTTAAGATGAAGCGAACCACCTAAACTGGACTCTACAGGCCAATGGATACTCCATCACAGACATCAGACGAGATGCAAGACCAAGAACAAGCCATGACAGTAAAGACAAAAATTTACCCAGAGGAAAAGTGTTCCTACCATCCATCAAAGGAACCATTGGCCACATCGGGAAGCTGATGAAGAAACATAACCTACAAACTATCTACGGACTCACTAAGAAAATCCTACAAATGCTACATTCAGCACAGCACAAGAGGGATCCTCTCATCTCTGCAGGTGTCTACCATATAACATGCATCTGTGAACAAGTCTACATAGGGACCACCAAATGCAGCATTGCCCAAACACGAATCAAGGAACATGAGAATTCAGCCATAGCAGAACAACTGATGAACCAACCTGGACACAGCATATTATTTGAGAACACAGAAATGCTGGACCACCTAACAACCACCATGTCAGACTAAACAGAGAAGCCATTGAAATCCATAAGCATGCGGACAATTTCAACACAAAGGAGGAAACCATGAAAATGAACAAAATCTGGCTACCAGTATTAAAAAATTCTAAAATCATGACAGTAAATAAAGAGCAACACTGAAAAAACGGGAATTCTAGATAAGAATCAATCAGGGCTAGTTAACACCTCCCAACAAAGGATCTCCAGGCAGCAGTCAGCCAGGTTTTGAAGCTACAAGGCCATTAAATGCTAATCAAGGTAGCCAACTGCAACATTCACACCTGCGTCAAGCAGACAAGAGTTCTTTCTCCCACCCTGGACATTCCATAGATATATAAACCTCACTTGCTTGGTTTCTAACAGATTTCACAACCTCTGAGGATGCCTGCCATAGATGTGGGCAAAACGTCAGGAGGAAATGCTTCTAGAACATGGCCATATAGTCCGGAAAACTCACAGCAACCCATAGAGTTCATTGTTGGTTTCTCATTCAAGCACTAAAAAGATTTAGCTTTCATGATCAATAAGATCTGGTGCCTTAAGGATATATGGCTATATTCAGTATAAAATACCCAGAAAGCTGGAGCCAGCTCCTTGATACCTGTACCCATTTGATATATGTTCCACATTCCCACTTCACATATTTGGGTCTGTATCTACCATATTTTATATGCGCCTCCAAAATGTATAGAGTAATCTATGCAGGTGTCTCCTCTTCCCTGAATAGATGTCTTTGTGATGATTCCTATGCAATGCTTTCCGAGAGATCTCCTTAAAATATTCTTCGTGTATTTGTAAATCCTCTCCTGTGTGCTTCTTCTCTCATATCCAAAATATTTTGATTCATATATTAGATTCTTCAGAAGAGGAAGAACAGGCTACGTTGTTTACATATCACAGTCAGGATTTGTGTGCATGCTTACTTGGGACACAGCAGGTTGAACTTGAAAGTAAATTATAAATAAGGCAGACCTGTTAAGTATTTTCAAATAAAATTCAGTTAGTAGCTGAAAGTGAACAGGATTACACTTGTTTCTCTGAATGTTCCCTGGCAGTCTTTTGAGATAAGCAGGCTCCTTCAGCTTTACAATCTTTGCTATTCAAACCATTTACAAGAAAGGTTTATGTGCTCTTTAAAAGTGAATAGCTTATGGTTTCCTTTACCTACTCAGGCAAACACAGACAACACAGTGGTCATTTTTACTGTACAAAAACGTGTATTGGCAGATTATGAAACATCAAATCTATGGATGCTGCGGGAAGCTGTAAAGAACTAACAAACACCATTTGACCTACATACCTTCCTCCTCCGGTCTTTGCCTACCTCATAAAACCTGCCCTATTTTTGTGCCTTTATTCCATTAGCAAAATTTTCCTTATAACTTGACAGAGACTCACATATGTGACATTCTCCTGTAGAAGTGGATTTGGTCAATTCAATTAATTTTTTTTTAGGATTTGCATAGAAAGTATCAGAAGATTGGGCTCAGTCTGAACAAGCATTATGTGGTGTTATATGGAAGTGGAAAGGGCATTAGTAATATCAGAGTTTGAATAGAACAATTTTGTACTGAGTTGATGATAAAAACCTGAATGAAGTATTCTATGTCAAGCATTTCTGGAAAACAGATTAAGCTTCTAATAATGCTATTCTCATTTCAGTGTCTATTGAGCAACTAATTTGATCCTTGACTTTGAACTCCAGTGCTATCTGCTAAGCGATAGTGGCAGTCTAAAGTTTTCTTTTCTGCTGACATTTAATGTTTATGATTGGTATGATAGAAAATCCTGGTGAGAAGTAATATCACAGAAATTTTATCAGGCAAAATATTTGAGCAGGCCATGTTTTGGTCACTCGATTGCAGATGTTTTCGTAAAACTATTGTCCTAAAAATTGCATTCTCTTTCCATGATAAAATTAAATAGCTGCTTGTAGAAGTGAATGATAACAGTGGCCAACACACATTTTGTTGCCTCTATTTCTGGGTGTATTTGACCTGTTGATTAAAAAAAAATGGCTCCGGTTTCCCCCTATCAACTCTAGTTTTTCAGATACAGAACATATTCCGTATACCTGTCTTCATCTGCTCACCCATGGAAAATTATGATAGCCATATTTAAGAAACTCGAGCTCATGTGATGTATCATTTTCTGAAGCAGCCAGCATCCCAAATAACCCTAGGAACAGTAATAAAAACAAAGATACCAAGAAAAATGTTTTTGTTGGGCTGTGTTGGTCATCAGCCTTTTAGGAAGGAGAGAATAGCAACAATAGCAGCAACAACAACAACAAGAACTTAATTTTTATGCCCAGCTACCATCTCACCGAAGGGACTTGGGGTGGCTTACATATGGGACAGAAAGTAGAACAGACATAAAATCAAACAATCAATTAAAACAAAACCACCACTAAAATAAAGTAAGAACATCGTAAAATACAACAGTTCATATAAACACAATTACACATAAGAGAAAAAAAATCAGTGTTGAGGTTCCATCAGACAGTGTTCAACAAAAACCAATTACCATAATTATAAAAATGGGCATGAAAGGGTTGGGCATAGGATAGTGCTAAACAATGTACTAGAGGGCCGGGGAAATGAGAGAGGGGCAGAGAACAGAGTACTATCTGGTGACCTAGAGACTGGGTATTTATAGTTAGGGACTAGAATGAGAAGCTTGTTATATAAAGGCAGAACAAGTGGACAAAAGTTTCACAAATGTTGCTTGTTAATTTTGTGAAGGATGGAAAAAAAACATTTTATGAAAACTACATCCTTGAAAGAACTATCCTTGGGGGACCTGAATTGAACACATGAATGAAGATCTTTGGTTCCTGGGGAAAACTTCTGGCCAAAAAAGTTTTTACTATTATTTTTAGTATTATTTATGATACTTCTATTTTTCAGTACTAGCTTGACATCTATTTTGACCTCTTTCTTTTTCTCAGTTTTTAAACAGAAATTGAGCAGCATTTTAGCTAAAATGATAGTTTATAAGATAGCATGGAAACTAGCAAAAACTGCATGCTTATTGGATTTTATAAATAGTCACAGTTCTTCTTTGATTAAAGTGGACATTTCTGCTTTAGACAGAATGCTGTGTGGTTTACTGTTCTAGTAAGCATAAGTATCAGTGTAAAATAGTTATACATGTTTTCTCTCCACCTACAGCTTAAAACCTGGAGCCAAGCCACCCACAACTCCTGTGAAACTGAAGAAGGTCAGCACGTTTCAAGAGTTTGAAAGCAACACAAGTGATGCCTGGGATGCTGGGGATGATGACGATGAACTCCTTGCAATGGCTACAGAAAGCCTTAACACTGATGTAGTCATGGAAACAGCAAATAGAGTAATTCAGAATCATAGTAAATTACAAGAACAGCACAAATTGCAAGAGGAACACGTGGAAAGACAACAAGCACAGCAACCTTCAGACCTGCCTTCAGCATCTGGTGACAACAGATTGGTTAAATCTGTGAGTGAAAGCAATGCATCAACTTCTACAGGTACAGTAAATGTCAAACACTGCTACTATCTGGTTTCTGGTTGAATGATGTTGTGTGTAGATGGTTTCAAGAGCTTTTGAATGTTTGGAAGCCACTCAGAAGAGATCCCCTTTTCTTCTTAAACTGAACAATTTGAAGAGTCATGTTGTATGTGGAAAATAAGTTTCATCAAATATGTTTCTGGAACATGGCCATACAGCCCGGAAAACTCCCAGCAACCCAGTTTCACAGTAGTTGGAAAGTTTGTTGGATATCTTATCAGTCTGTGTACTCTGCATTTATCCCACTAATCTTTATGGGACTGCCTGTTATTTAACTATTAATAGAAACATATGTTTCATGTTGAAAACCACTGGCAAAGATGATTTGCAACAGATTACTTAACTTCGAAAAAAATAGAAATGGGAGATAAATCAAGACACAAGAGAATTTACTTATTTATTGAAGGCAAGTTTTCTTACATTTCTAGAGAAATCATGTAACTGAAGCACTTATACTCTCATGATAAAATTCAGGAATGAGATATCAAAAGGCCATTAAAAGGATTTATCTGGTACTCCAGAGACATAATTTTAGATATCAACCTATGACTTCAAAGAAAGGCTTTCAGAACTAAGAACTCAGTTTTCTAGTTGCCTCCTGCTTCATTATGGATGTCAAATTCATATGACTGTAGGATCTCTGGTGATGTTTTTACAGGTTGATGTGAGAATAAGAGCTTTTTCTAGTAAATCACAAGTTGGGGTTAACAGCGGGAACTTACTCCACTCCCTGGATTCAAACCACTGACCTTTCGGTTAGCAAGTTCGGCAGCTCAGTAGTTTAACCCACTGTGCCACCAGGGCCTCCTAAATCTATATCAATAACCCATCATTTTCTCATCACCTCCGTGATAGACATAAAGTTTGATCGTCAGTATGATGACAGTGTAAATCAGCTTTTCTTTCCATTTTGGAGCCAGAATGAATGTGATGAAATTTGTGACTGGTACTTGTTTTCAGTATTCTCCTTTCTCTAAAAAAAGTTTTCATTTATTGTCTTTGAAATATGCACACCTTCCTACCTGTTTTATCTTTTAGAAAGTGCTAATGAAAATGCTTCCATACCAAGATCTCAATCTCTTCCACAAACCTCAACAGTAACTATGGTAGGTGGAGTTGTGGAGCACAATACCTCAGGTCTTCCAATACTATCGGAAAGAGAAGCATCACGGTTAGATAAATTCAGACAACTTCTGGCGGGCCCCAATACAAACCTTGGTAAGTACAATAAAGTGCGAAGTTGATATCTAGTGTCTGTTGTTGGGAAAAGAGAGGAAAATCATTTTTCTGGTAACCCTTTCATTTTTGAGTTTACTCCTCGGTAAAGAGTGTATAGATGCACATTTCTCCGGTATGTATTTACATGCACCCTTAAAAACCTGCTCTAGAAGGTCTTCCAGAGTAGGTATTCAAGTGTGATGGTGAATGCAGAAGCTTGCAGTGAGGATAAGGAGAAGAGAAGCTATTCTTCTGTGAATCTCTTAAAGATCCAAACCAATAAAATATTTAAAAAGTACTGAAAGCATTTTTCTGCATAAACTATTTGCGACACAATTGACTTCAGAAAATATCCTTATTGAATAGAACCTCTATTTGGCAGAGTTAATGGCATGCCAAGACTAAGTTGAAGTGCTTGTATCAGCAGTCCATGTTTGCATTTAATTCGGAGATACAAAATTCAGAAACATTTTAAAGCCTTCTTTTGTAGTTCTACCTTATATATTTTATCTACCATTCTAACAGAAAATATTCCACAATCCATTAATCTATTTTTCCTGGAAAAAAGGCCTCCCGCCCCCAAATGTTTCCCTTTGGGTCTTTGTAGGGGTGCTACTTTAATATGGTGCATTGCAAAATGGGGGAATTGTGGTGCCAAGTATGTTGTGCAGCAAACCTTCAAATGCTACTAAACATCACTGCCAAAGCAGCATGCAGTGGCTTGTTGTTGGCACACATACTCATTATTTTATTTTTGAAAGAGAGGTTTGATTTTATTTGTTGTATGTGTGAACCCCCCATGTGTAATGCCTGACAAATGATTTTGCATAGTATACTGAGTAGTTCTATTTGTTTTCCACTGACGAACCAAGAAACACACAAAATGATGCATGTCAGTTGCCTATCAGGTGCTCTGTAGGCATTATTGGAAATGGTGATCTTTTTCATCCAGAAACATTTTCTGTAATACTCAGATAATTGTATTACTCAACAATGATCGTGGATATGTACTTAATGTAATAGACATTGAAAAGGTGAAACCTCCTATTGAAGCATTTGTATTTTTTTTTTTAAAAATAGGTTTTTTTCTATTGCTGTTTTCTAAGAGTTTTGAATCGGCTATGTTTGAGTGTTCTCAACCTCTTTTGCTTTTCTAATGATAACATTTTGACTAGAAATTTCCTTTTGAATCTTTGAATAGCTGAAGTCTTTCATCCTACGCAGTACACTTTGTTTTTTCTTTGTCTTTTATTTATTTCTCACTTTAACGATGGCTGTTATATATTATTTGCCTTGAAATTGTATTTATCATTTCTTGCTCTTTCCATGTGAACAATGAGAATAGTTTGACTTATTTTTGGGTTTCTTTGCGTTCTCCTCTTTTAGTTTTTCTTTCCCTTTCTTCCCTTTCTTTCTTTCCTTCTTAAAAAGCTATTTGTTCACACTGTCACCTCTGATCCCTTCCAAGCTTGGCAGTTTGTCTATGCGTAACAATCTGAAATTGATGTTTACCTTCCTACCAAGATAAATGCATGGCATCAATGTTTTTCATCTGTGTTTTTGATCCATTTAGCTGTATTTCATAGCATTCTCTCTCAGATTTCCCAAGTGTTACCTTTTCTACTTTCCTCCCTCAGATTCTTTTCTTTAGATCATTTTAGAACAAATGTAAAGCTAATTACCAAACCTGGACATATAATGAAAAGGCAGAGCTGGGGAAAAGATCAGGTCAATGTATTTCAGACACATACCTTGGAAGGAAATTAGATTATGATGTTAATGCTTTTATTGTGTGTTTTCATTTCAGTTTTAATTGTTGCTTTTCACCTTAATAAAATATGCAAATACACACGTCTACAGCTTAATAAAAATTATTCCTTTGGCATACAACTCCCAGTGTCTCGAAGCCAGTGTGGTTCATATTTCTGCAGTTGATTCTTTGAATAACTTGGCACTAAACCATTTAGGGCAGCACTTCTCAACCTATGGCTCGCAACCCCTTTGGGGGTCGAATGACCCTTTCACAAGGGTCACCTAAGACCATCAAAAAACACATATTTCCAATGGTCTTAAGAACTGAGACACCACTAACTTTTCCCTGCCTCCTTCACTTCCCAGTGGCCTCTTCTTCTGCTCTGGAGGGAGGTGGTGACATCACTCAGCCCTGCCCCCTCTGCCATTTTAGGAGGAAGAGACAGGAGCAGTAGATGTGAGGTTTGCTTTGGAGCCAAGAGGGAGGAAGAGGAAGAGATGGGGGTGAGAAGGGAGAAGGTGGGGGCTAGGGAGGAAAAGCCTGTGGTGGATGGCAGGGCTTAGATTGGGGTGGAGTGGCCCCTCCCTGGCCAAATGCTAGCGAGAAAGAGTAGTGGCAATAAAAATACAAACTGGATATCAGATATTTACATTACGATTCATAACAATAGCAAAATTAAAGTTATGAAATGACAACAAAAATAAATTTATGATTGGGGGTCACCACAACATGAGGAACTGTATTAAAGGGTTGTGGCGTTAGGAAGATTGAGAACCACTGGTTTAGAGATTCAAAGACTAATACTGACATCCTAAATTGAACTCAGAGACTGAAAGATAACTAGTGCAATTGAGAACAGTGTTAATTTCATATGTGCTGAACATTTAATATACGCAGTAGCCCAGTTGCCCTATTCTGTACTAATGATGGTAGTTTTAGATTTTCCTATTTCTAAGACATCTCAGAAATAATATTTTCTTTACTGTAGTTTCCTGGAAAGCTGTGCAACTTTCTCATGAAAGCTATGGAACCATTAAAAAGGATTTGGGGGGTGGGGAGAGAAAGCACAAATATAATGTACAATGTTAAAGTAGTACAGTTTTGAATTCTTCACTTTTGGAAATATTCTTCTCCTAAAAGTGTGAGGAAAAAATGCAAAATTGAATGGTTCTTTGTCTCACATGTTTCATAGCTTGCAAATTGCAAAACTCGGGGGTAAAAAAACATAAAATAGATGGTTTATGTAGCTCCAAAAGCTGTTGAGCTTTTCTAGAAGATGATGAAGAAGAAAAAAGCACAAAACAGAACATTTCACAGCTTCGAATATTGCACAACTTTAAATCAGGAAGTGGAATTACAGCTCAAAAGTCCAAGAAAGACTACATTATCCTCAGAACAAACAGACAAACAGTTCAGCCACTGAGATTTAATATATAATTCTCTGTATAGTTTTTTTTTTGTATCTCATGTAGTTTTCCCAAGTGTATATATAGCAACAAACAATTTAAGCTATCTTGCTTTGATATGATATGCAGTTTCACAAATTATGCAGGTTTTGTTGTGCTGAGAATAACAAAGTTCCTACAAGGCTGGAGGAACTTCTTGGGTGCCGTTTTTCTTCCCGCAAATGTTCCTGAGGGATTTCAAATTCGAAATTTGGACCCCAAATGATCAAATGCCCATTTCATCCCTATTCTGTGCCACTTTTAAAGGCAATCTGAAGAAGAGTGCATTTTAATAGTATAATCCATATATAATCAAGGTAAAATCTGGCTAAAGAGATAAAAGCTAAGTTTTGTAGTTCGGAAATCAGTTTAAATGGGGAAAAAACCAAATACACAAATTTGTGCTTCCACAAAATGTGTAGATCACTGGAAAGCGCCCAAACTGTTTGCATCGTGTTTCAGAGGTTGTGAAATTCTATCCTAAACTAGTTGCATACCTGTATTGATATAAACCAATCGCCTTAGTATGTCTTGATTAAACCTTACTTCATCTATTGCAAAACTATTTCCAGAAATTGTTTTGGAATTTTACAGATGTCCACAAACTACCAGATGGGAAAAAATGTAACACTGCTTTCCCATCTATGAAGAATATACTTCAAAAGTGTAATCTTCATAGTGATTATACTTTTGGCCACACTTCTATATAACTTCTTCCAGTGAATTCATGTAGAGGTTCAAGTGTATGAGTGGAAAATATAACCATTGAGTCACCCTAACCTCATTGGCCATTGACTTGAACAAATGTTCACTAGCACCACCTACACTACAGGATCTTTTTTAATAGGAATAGTGTTATCACATAATATCATGCCTCAAGGAAACATAGCTCCAATGAACACATAGTAAATTGTACTGAAAACTGAAGGTCAAGCAGAACCAACGTGTTTATACAAATTTATCCATGGTTTAACAAAACTCATCTACAGTAGCCCTTCTCCTGAAACCTAGCTGGAAACCGGATTGAAATAGATAAAAGTATCACATCTACTGCAGAAATTAAATTGCAGTACCATTTTCACACTAGATCAGGCATGGGTAAACTTTGGCCCTCCAGGTGTTTTGGACTTCAACTCCTACAGTTTCTAACAGACGGTAGGCTGGGAGTTGAAGTTTGCCCATTCCTGATCTAGATGAAGATGGATTATCACAATTTTATTTCATTTCCTAAATATTTCCAAGGAAGGAGGTGACAGAAATACCTCTTGCAGCATACCTTTTTTCTACTGGCATGGCTAGGGGTGGTAGGTTATACTACTGTGTTCTTTTCTAAAGCCCCATGGAAAAAACTCTTCAGTATTCTGATTTTTTATAGGAGTTGTGAGATGGGGAAGAAAATGGCAACTGCAAAAAATAAGTAAGCCAAACCAAAGTTCATAGAGCCTTATAGGTGACTGATTATTGAGTGTGGAGTACTTATTTCTGATCTCTTTCCAGTTTCTAGAACAGAAAATAATTGGATACCACTACTCAAATGCAGGATACTGCTTTTTGTAGAAGTAATGGATTTAAAAAAACTACTAATAATTTACAAAAACTTATTTTAAAATGCCTATCTTTGTGCCTTAAACTTTTGAGAAGGGGGAGATTTTGACCTACTTTTTCAAAATACAGTTTCTTCTTCAAGGGGCTTTTTCTCCCCATATATCTGCAATAGTGAATTCTTATGCTTCTTGCTGAAACATTCTGATTTTGTCTAGGCAAACAAAGTGTCTTTGAAGATATAAATCTTTACATCTTGA